CTAGCTTAGAATCATAATCCTATAACCATAATAATTCATTTCTCATCCCAAATAATCATCTAAACCTCAATAAATCAATATATATTTTCAGATCTAGTTTAGAATTTGATCCATAAGCCACAAATTCAAATATCATCAACAAATTTATACTCTAGAACATTTATTATACTACTGACAACCTCAAAAACCATATTTATTCAACATAAATTCATCCCTCTTTCAGATTTTAAATTTTCTACCACTACAAACTCAGAAACTAAAGAAGAAGGATGACTAAGAAAAATTTTTAGAACACTTACTTAGTCTTGAAAAACTCAAAATCACACCCTAAATATCCTATTAAAAATTCTTACCTTAAAAACTCAGATCTCCTGCACCGGTGAAACTAGGCGTTCTCTCAGCCTCAGCTCGCGCACAGGGAAGAATGAAGAAACAAAGAAAACAGGTGAGTTTTTATAAAAATTCAGTGGGTCCCACATCTTTTTTTTATTATTTCTTCTCTCCTCTCTCCCTTTTTTTATTATTATAATATATATGTAATGATAGCACGCGGAAACGCCGAAAGTCTTCTTGTTCTTCTCGTTTTGTTGTTTTTTTTTTTTTGCCTTTTCTCTTTTTTTTTTAATAATAATAATAATTTAATAATATTATTTTTTTAATTATTTTTTAAATAATTTTTTTATTTTAATTTATAATTATATTCTAAGTTAGATTTAATAATTATCTCCTACTAATTTGCTTACCTCTAAATATTTTTTTTTTTAAATTTCTATTAACCCAAATTAACTATTAAAATTTAAATTGGGATGTTACAAAGACAGCTCCGATATATAAGGGCACACATCATACACGAGAGTGCTCTCTATAAGAGCTCTCCTGTATGCCGCCATACCAGAGCACTCTTTATAAAAGCGCTCCTGTATGCTGCCACCATATCGGAGCACTCTGTTAAAGAGTGCTATGATAAAGTTTGAAAGAAGACTCAATGATGGTAAGGGAACTTCCTTTCTGAAGCAGGTCATAAGGGTGGTAGAGCATTTTGGATTTGGAGTAGTATTCTTGAAGGTTAGTTAGTTGAGATAATATTTTTTCGAGCACTGGTAATGGCAAGAGTACCAAAATATGGCATGATTCATGGTTGCCTTCTCTTCCAAGGACAATAATGGATGCATTTTGGATAGACATGGAAAATGTGAAGCCTCTCCTACTTTGGAGGTAGAATTTTTGGTTATAGAGCAAGTTGTTGAGTTTGCTATTTAGAATGACCATGATGATGTTTGCTTTGAATCTAATTTAAAGGTTTTGATTAACTGCTAAAACTTATGGCCTACCCTTGTGGATTGGAGGTTCCTCTCCTCTTTTGAAAACTTCCTCTTTGTGAGGAACTTGTTATGGAACTACTTGTTCCTGTGGGTTCCTACGAAAGCTTCTCCAATAATGTTCAGTCTCATCATGGTAAGATTAACATTCAATCTACATATTGGCTTCAAAATTTTCTATTGAAAAAAAAAATATAATTTTGGCTCCCCACATTTTAGTCAAATTTTGCTATAGATCTTTACATTTTTTTTAGTGTTCTAGATCTCTACACTTTTATTTTTTGGTGTTCTAAAAGAACAAAGTATAAGGACCCAAAGTTATATTTTTTCCTTTCTATTTCTAGATTTATTTAATACGTTGGATTTTTTTCCCTAAAATGAACCACATTTAAATAATCTATTGTATTATAATATAATGGTGTTATAAAAACTCATTTCATAGATTCATTAAATCAATTAGTCCAACAGGGTGTCTATATGTACGCATGCATTCCATGGCAAGTCTTGCGTGATTTATTTAGTATATCTGATCAAATTAAATAATTTTCCCTCTCTTATTCCATCGCCTCCATCGTTCGCAAAGTATACATGCTAAATTGCTGTATCATTTATTGAAGAATAACACGTAACATGTTTATTATAAAAAGTAAAAAAGCTTAATATAACTCTAACAGGAAAAACTCATGGTTGTTTGTCTTTTATTTTTAACTTTATAAAAAAATCATTTGAATAAATTTTTTGCATTTAAATATTTTCATAATTTCATTTGGTTTTTAAAAATAAAAATAAAATATTTTAATTTTTCTTTATTTTTTTAAAAAAACGGATGACATTTGATTTTTGGTAACTACTGTTAACTAAAACTAACCATTATGATAAACCATCGTCATTAATTATATGTCAATAGATTTTTTAATTATAAATTTATTTTTAAATTAATATAATTAAATATATTTTATTTTTTTATTGTATTTTGAAAGATAATTTTAAAAATTGATCTAGAAAATAGTTTTTAAAAATAAAATTTGGACTTTTTGAAGTAAAAATTAGTTAATATTGAAGTTTCAGTGTGAAAGGACAGAGGAAGCCTTGGATCTAGTCCAAGCCGCAGAACCTTCATTGGCTGTGTCCCCACATGCACCAGCAATGTGAGGCCACCTGTTGAGTTGGTTCGGCCTGGGTCAATACGTAGTACCAATCACCGCTCTTGAAGCAGATCACGCGCCATGGACCATGGTCTTATGATAAAATGCCCAATCAGCTTCTAGATGGCTTGTGATGTCGCAGCTTCTCTTTCCCTCGTTGACTCTTTATGCCTGTTCACACCAAACCACCGATTTCCCTCTTTTTAACTTGCGAATAAAAGAAAATCCCTCTGGTTTAATTCTAAGCACCTGCTTGCAAAAAGGCCCGCACCTTGTTTCCTGGCAAAATAGTAGGTTTCTTGTGTTTGTTGAACTTTTCACAATCATTTGCGACCGAATTGGCATGGTCTAAAATTTCTTAGATTTGAATATTTCAAAAGGAGACTTTGCACTCACCATGATAGGGCCCAGCACTCATGTATCATATGTCAAGTGAAGTTAAACGAAACTCAAGTATTGGCTGTTGCTTTTCGCAACTCCGACGCTTTCCTACAGCAGAAACTGAGTTCATTATTATGTGGCAATATGGAATCTGCGAATAAAATATCACGCGGTTTGTGTTATTGAGATCTCTACTACACACTTTAGATTTTCCGCCATGACTTTATTCTTTTCAAGGGAGAATCACATTTAGAGATATGATAAGAACTTATTCACAAACAATAATCAATATATAATAAATTATTATTAAAATAATAATATAATTTTTTTTTTAAATAAGATTTATTATTAGTTTTTATCTGTAAATAAGTTTATTCCCAATATGTTTGATGTGATTATCCCTCTTTTTATTGTATGTTTATTAAATCGATAGTAATTTTATTTGAGATACAGGATCAGATATTAAATGTTAATATTTTTTTAACAAAAATTCAAACTTGAATTTATCACATTATAAGATATTAATCTTTTTTACTAGGCACAATTATCATTATTAGAATATCACTTTACTTGATTGAATATATATTTCCTTCTTTCAAATAAAAAAAAGTCAAGGCATTCCTCTCCTTATGGATGGATGGAATTTAATATATATATATATATATATATATATATACCGCCTTAGAAGTTCTAATAATCGTTGAAGTAAATGTATTCCATTGGCAAATTTGGCTCACATTTCTTTTTGTAAATTTACCCCTCATTTAAAATTGTTGAAGTAAATTGAGGCACAACAAGAAACACAATCATTGCTTTGGATTTCTAATTAACAAAATTTATAATATAAAATAGAATTATTTCCCAGAAAAATAAAATATATATTATGAAACTAATGATATAAGTCAAAATTAAGAAGCTCGAATTGAGCTGCTGTTAGTTATTAGATCGATGGGCTTTTGAAATGAGAGCAACATGCAAATTGAGAAATCCTTAATATATAATTAACAACAACAGCCACAGAGGAGAACATATTAGATTGGAATAAATAATGGGCATGGTGTTTGCTAGCTACTTAAACTTTCAAAAAGTATTAAAAAACAAGGGAGGGATCTAGGAAGCTGTCAATTCATTTCAATGCTGAAACTTGAAAGGGGCAGATGGTGCAACGTGTCGGATCATCGAATCATCAGTGTTTCACGTGGCGGGATTTTTTTTTTGTTAATTAACAAATGTTCAAATTGAACTACCAATCAACCATTAACCCCCATGTGTTAATTAAATAATACCAAACACATAAGTTAACGCGTACATGGGTTTTGATTACACTAGCTCCTACCTAAGATACAACTTACAAGTAAATAAGACAATACGTAGAAAAAATCCCTTTTAAGAAATTGATCATCGATCAATTTATATAACGTTAAATCATTCCAAAAAATACGTTTTGATGAAGTTATTTTTATAAAAAAAGGTAAATATAAACTATACGATCTAAGACAGATTAAAGTTTAAACTACAGTATCTAAAAATGATTAATGAGCCGTGTATTTTATTTTATTTTTTATTCAGTAAATAAGGAATAATTCAAGTCACTAAGCATGCTGTTTGTTCGATAGTGTTCCGTGTCCCTGGCAGGAGCAAATCCATGGTAAAGTTGGATGTGTAAGGTGGGAAGGCACAACAAAATAGCAGCTGAGGTCTGAGGATACCACTCAAAAACAAACCCCAAAAAAAAGGCCGATGATGACGATAGCAGACGTCGGCGGCAAACGTCACAGGTTTGTCTCATCAAGAGACAACCACTCGGGAACTTGGAAATGCAGAAACAATACCGACGCGTAAGGAGGTTTCTGATTTTGAAGATTCCTTGGTCTTCGTTTCCCCCCATGTTCCCTTCCCTCACTCCCACTCTCTCTCCCCATTTTTTTTCCCCCTGTAAATTGTGAAGGGTCAATCAGAAGGAAGCTTTGTGCATAGAAGTGGTCAGCAATTAGACTTCCAATCCTCATCCTTTGAACCCCATTCTTCCTATGACCAAAGACTAGTCTTCCCAACCCCTTTTGAAATTCAACTCTCCCATTTTCTCAGTCAAAATTTCCTCCTCCCTCTTCATTCACTCTCTCTCCCCCTTTCAAAACCAAACTCCCCCTTCCTTAAAATCTCACTTGCAGACTCTCACACTCACCTTCATTCTCCACCTTAATGTTGCTATAATCTTTTTGAGTCGTCTTGACACTCGCACAAAAACTCTGATATCAGGTTCATTTTCTCCCATGCTGTGCTTATACAGCATAAACCTCAACTTTATCTTTCGTTTGTCTTAACCATCTCCTATCGATGCCTCCTCCCAAATATCAAAACCCAATGTCACATATTTGGCAATAACGCATGTCGTAGGTATCATTCGGCTCTGTCTCTGTTCATCCCCTGTTTTGGCCTTCTCTCTGACATGTGCCTGCAAAAGCTCTGAGTCTGACGACGTTCAAATTGTTCCAACGAAGCTTCCACCAATCATTTGGGGTATTAAGTCAATCGCTGCATACAAGTCAGGTCTGGCTAGGGCTGGGGTGTTTCATGGACAAGGTCAACATGAGAGAGTGGGAGAGCAAACTTATCAATGAACTGGTACAAGGTAGGGAGCTGGCAAGGCGACTCCAGATGTGCCTTCATGCGCCGTCTTCGCCCCAAGAAACCCAAGAGTTCTTGATCCAGAGAATCATAGCTGCATTTGAAAAGGCACTTGCAACGCTAAACTGGAACGGTGGGTCGTCGGTGGGAGAGGCATCACACGCCGTACAGGTTGGAATCCGAACTTGTGAGTCACCACCTTTGAGTGGAAGTCCTCGCAGCGAAGACTCTGAAAGGGATTTCCAAGATCAAAATGCCTCCAAAAAGAGGTACATATATACATACATATACATATGGAATGTTAACACGCGTCTCTCTCCAAGTTACACATCATTAAAGACCTAAAGAAATGCCGTAGTGTTGTTAATGTTTTCTGATATATATATATATATATATATGAATTTTTTTCTTGTATCAATCGCAGAAGAAGCATGCCGAGGTGGACAAAACAGATCACAGTTAGCCCAGGGATGGGAGTGGAAGGGACTCTTGATGATGGATATAGTTGGAGAAAATATGGCCAGAAAGAGATTCTGGGAGCCAAGTTTCCTAGGTGTGTGAGCGTATATTTATATATAGCACCAAGTTTAGGAAGAAGCTTAGTTTTTTATCACCTATAAATGGGTCATTTGTGGCTAACAATACTACTACTTTTGGTGCAAATGCAGAGGCTATTACAGATGCACCCATAGAAATGTTCAAGGATGCTTGGCCACGAAGCAAGTGCAAAGATCGGACGAAAACCCCAACGTATTCGAAATCACTTACAGAGGAAAGCACACCTGTGCACAGTCGTCCAATGTGGTCCCTCCATCTGGCACTCAAGAAAGCCTTGAACTGAATCCCAGCGCCGCAGATCCTCAGCAACAATCACAAGAACAGCTACTTCTGAACCTTCGAGCTGGGCTGAGGGTCCAAACCGAGAATCTAGATGTCCCCGATCCGGAGCAATCATCATTCACTTCCCTTATTTTTCCTTCAGCCTCCTCCATCATGAATAACGAAAACCAGATGTTTACAAGCTCCATGCTCGAAAACAATTTTGCCGAGAACGTTACTCCTGATCCTTCCTATATGTCCCCAGCCACATCAGGAATAACATACTACTCAGTGTCCCCAAGTGGAGTCAATAACGTGTTGGCTGAGATGCCAAGCATGGCAACTTCTGGGTCTGAGATCAACGACATAATCTCGGCCGTTACTTCGGCCGCAAACTCTCCCATAGTTGGTTTAGACCTTCCATTTGACCAGTCCGGATATGACGGACTCAACTTCACCTTTGATAACCAGCGATTCTTCTAATTTCATTTTCCTATCCAGAATAACCAATTCGTAGCAGAAAAATGTAGAATAAGCACATGTTAGAAGGCAGCAGGCGTTGTATTTGGTTCTAGAAGGAAGAGAACAATAATATTTCTCTACATATACATATTCCTAACTTCTTGTGCCACGAAAATGGGCCAGTCAAAATCATGTTTAGCTTTCCTATAGCCGTTTGATTGAATCATTTAGTTCAATGGAGAGCTTTTTCTTGTTCGTCGCCTTGTCGATCAGTAGCTAACGCATAACGGTTATACAATTGGCTTTCATATATGTTTCTACGAGGAAGAGTGAGCCCGCGATGCATTAACTATGTTTCCAAGTTCCAACAATGGATCATATCTATGACAAAGAATATTCAATTTTAGTTTTGGACCAGACAGCTTTAACGATGTAGATCGTTCTTTCCGGAAGTTGCTGCATTCGGAGAGAATTGAACGTACTTATGGAACTGCATTTTAATCGGAGTTCGTCCTGGAAAGAATGAGAGGTGGCCCATATCGACCCATTAAGCAATAAGTGTTAGAAAAGCTAATAAAGCAGGAGGCCCACTTTTGACATGGTCCAAGATTTTACACGTCTCTGACCCAAAATACTCTTCAACAATGTGGGCTAACATCAAGTCTCAATAGTCCAGACTCTTCCTCATCGTGTAACTGGGTTCAGATCCTCCTACCAAATTCATATTTATTATCCAACCCCAAGAAAGTGACAAATTTTGTAGATTTTAATTTGATGAATAATGGTCAGATTAGTCTGGACAGGTGATGGTAATATCCCTAGATCTTCCAGAATATTAGACTCCGGACAATGAAATAAAAAAAAAATAATTTGGTGGATAGTTTTGTGTTGATGGAGGAAGCTACTTTATGAGCAACATTAAAGTTTCAAGAAATTCTCCCATTGTAAATTGAAGCGAAACTTTTTCTGGACATGACTATTATTATTCCCCGTTCACTTCAAACTGCTGAGGACTCGTGTCTCTTTTATTTCACAAACCCTGTGATGTGGTGGAAATAGCTTCGCTGAGGCGGTGAAATTATTTAATTTGCTGACTACATATCTTTTGCTCCTCAGAAATTAATCTTCTTTAATTCATAATGAAATGACCGAACATGGCATAACATAGTCAATGGTGAAAATTAGGCTTGTGGGTCTTCCAAAATGAGGACCATTTCCCTGACGTAGCTTTCTCAAACATTTTGATGGAGAAATATGGCGGGCCATTTTAAAAGGGACTCCATATATATTTAGATGTTTGTCTTGGGGAGAGATAGTGACGGAGATCCAGCATTTATTCTATTGATGAAAAGAATAGAAGGTGGGTCTTGTTGAACAAATATTGTTTGTAAAATGGTAGTTGTGTACGCGTACAATTGAAGGAGTATTTATTAATATAGTTGGACCATTCTGAGAATGGTTGTTTTTTTGCCCCCTCCTTTCCATATTCTTTAAATTGACGAAATTGATGAGTGTATATACAAATATAAATATACCAACGTACACTACGATTGTTAGGTTAGGGAGTAGGTATCAAAATACAAAGATCCATATTTTGATCCTTAAAAGTACTTGAAAAGACAAACCCGTAACTTTTGTCCAATATTCTTGTATTAAAACAAATTTTATGAATACAAATATTTAGCTCATCCTCAAGAGTGATGTGGCAGTAGTGGCAAATACAAGCTCAACAAAGTTCAAGGCTTTCATTTTGGAAGACACGACCAATTTTTTTATTTGACGGAGCGATCCTCATGAATTTTTGCTAAAATGAATAGAATATGCTTCCATCTCTTGTGGAAATGAAATCAAAATCAAATTCACAAACTAAATTTCAAACTTGACAGCAGTCAACTACAGGAACTATATCTAACACACCTCTTGACCAATTTCAAGAGACAATTAAGAGAAATGCTAGAGGTTGTGCGCAGCTCTCTTGTATATATGCACTACATTTGATCCAACGAGAGGATGTGACTATAATGTATAATATTAAACACAAACTCCTTAAACAATATTAAATAAATTTTAAATACCTGAAAAAAGATATTTTCACATTATTTTTAAAATTTATTTAGTAATATTTAACGAGTTTGTATCTAGTTGTGTGTTACCTTACTTCCCTTAAGAAGTCACGAGAAAAAGCCCAGTTATGGTAATATATGTGGCGAGAAAGTGTGCTGGACTTGTTGAGCCAGATCCTCGGCGCTGAGTTGACATTCGACTCCAATCTGTATAATAATCAATATTCATAATTAGTAGACCGAGATAATGGACACATCAATATACACAAATAGCATACTCAATCATGCATTACACATGGTGAGTTGATTATTATGCAGAAAAGTTTGGTGAGTTGAATTCTGCATCAGTGTTTAAATCACGACTTGTATAGCTGTCAAAATGATCGTTTCTGGCTAAAATCTATATGGTTTACTCAAAATAAAGACAACGCCTGCAAGATGTCATCACAATTCCTGAAACCCCAGACACACGCGGTGAATAATACATAATATACTGTTCAGTGTTCAGTAATCAGTGTGCCTTGATAATGTACTGCGCAGTTTCGGTACTGGCACTGTCAAAATAATTCACCGTTACTATTATTACCATGTGTCAACCAATATCTTGTGTCGCTTTAATTCAAAGGCCAATTAACAAGTACGTATTTTTCATTACATGTTATATTTTGAACACAGAACATTATAGATATGTGTGTATGTACTTATGCATATATTTGCAAGGAAAAAAGATATATTAGATAGAGCAAGAGTATGGAGTTAGATTAATTATACACGTACCTTGATGGTGAAAGAGTTAAGCACGCTTTCATCAGCAGAAGTGATGCTGATCTGAAGGATTTCGAGGGCCAGATCTTCAAGAGCGGAGATGATTTTTAAAGCTTGACCTGGGATCGGAGGGGACAAGGTTTTTAAGAGGACGTGGGGCCCCGAGAACTTAACCTCGACGTCGGCGATGGGGGAGTTGGCGACGAGCTTAGAGTTGGCGACGAGCTCGTTGAGATTGTCTTTGAAGGAGGAAGAAGCAGAAGATGTGGGAGACGGTTCGAGAGAGTTGGAGAGTCTGGGTTGGGGCTTGTAGGGGCTACCTGACTGTGGCGTGCCCGGGCTAATGGGTAGGTTTAGCCTAGGGCTCACCGGTGCAATCACTCTCGGAGAAAGCCTTGGGCTTGACACGAGCCTAGGGCTCAGAACTTCGTTGTACGCTTTTCTCTGTTTCTTGGCCTCCAGGGATTGCAGAAGCTGCTGCAACTCGTTGATGTACTCTACCACTCCTCCTATTATTGATGCTTGATCACCCTGATTAACAACCCATGCATATATGTATGGAAGGATCGTAAGTTATTTACTTCACAATTGAACGTTATTTTTGGAAGAAAGCGAAGCATGCATTGTATTAATCCTGGTGCAAAAGCTAAGTTAGCAAGTTGTTGGTGAGAGTTGAAACAAGACTCACTCGTTTGACATAGAAACAGGGCATGAGGGACCTCAGGACGGACAAGTGCTCGTTCATTTGCTTTCTTCGGTTTCGCTCCACAGTGATATGAGATATCTTAGGTTCTTCAGATGATGACTCCGAAAGCTTCTGTCTCTTGGTTTTGGTTGAAGCTTGAAGCTGAGTTAGTGAGTCGTCATCGGGTTCAAGAGTGCTTGTGGTTTCTTTGTTCTGTTTCGAGGTAACGGCGGCAAGGGATTTGTCGGCGGGAGGAAAATTGGTGAAGTCCTCTAAGGAGTCCAAAATAGCAAGCAGATCGTCTCCAGACAAGTCCAAGTCTTTATCTTCAAAAATATCAGAGAAGCCGTCGTCCATGATCTCAGGCTCTTTGGAGTCTCAGTTTTCTCTTCTGGGAAAGCTGTGGAAGGAAAGGACTGAGGAATGGGGATTGTCAAGATTAAGAGAAAGGGCTGATAACAAGGGAGTAAATGAGATGTCACTTTCACGCTAATCGGCAAGGGTGTGCCGCACTGAATCCCATGGAATTTCGGTGCAGAGAGCAAACAGAAGCAGTATCGGACTACGGGCAGAGTAAAAAACAAAGGAAGTAATTAAAGAAATGACTCATCTCAGCGAGAGCCGTTAGAGATGGAGGGAGAGGGAGATGAGGCAACATTAGAAGAGAGAGGAGTTCTACATGAGAGACTGAGAAGGGAATACGTTTGATGATATCGTAAATTAAATGAGAAGTGGAGGAAGTTAGTGTTGATGTTGAGTGTGTGCATATATATATATATATATATAAATGGATGACTGTGTATCACGGCGTGTTTAATTTGTTGCTTTGCATTCAAGATATCAACATCATCACCAATGGCAATGACCATTCTTTTGTCAGGACAGAGAGATGGTTGTGAAGCAACACACACCATTTCATTAATATCCCTTCTTTGATCCTTTAGTCTCTGTTAACATTAGTTGTGAATGAAGTCATGAAGATGGTATTAATCAGAAAGATAAATAATTAAGTCAAAAGCAGTTGTATATAAGACCTATATATATCTCGCAATCAGGTATAAAGTTCACTACTGTATATGAAGTTTCATCATTGAGTATTAAATTTAGATAATCATTAATGAATAGAATATTCAAAATTGAATACACGCACACATTTACACACATACGTACGTTATATAGTTAATACTGCCGGGGGATGTCATGAATATCTCAAGGGGATGAAATGGGGTAATTTGTGTGTGCCCACTCAAATTAAATATTTACACTGAACCTATTATCATTCTTATCTTTACTCCTCATCCCCTTAGCCTAGCTCTTCTTCGTACCTCCACTCTTTAATTACCTCATGTACTCAAAGTCTCAAACTATTCCTTCTTGCCTGATTTATACAAGATATATAACAAGTTAAGTTTTGGCCACCACCCAGAGCTAGCTTAAATAATGATAAGAATAGGGTGAAATTTTAATAGAGGTCCAAAATTCCAAACCGTTTTTATGCATTAAAAAACCAAGAACAAAAATAAGGGGGCTTCTCTATTTATGAAAATTAGAGATAGTTATTTGCCTCTGGTTTTATTGGAAACTCGTGAATTTGTTAATTCACACATAAGTACTCGAATTTTAAATAATCTGAAGTGGTGGCGGCAGCTATAGCAGTACTAGGCCCGCATATGTGGGGAACATTATGAAATAATTTACCCAATTATTCTATTCAGACTGCAATATAAATCTTATTCCCTCTGTTTCAAGATATGAGCAGCTTTTAAAAAAAAATTAGTATACAAATAAATTCTTTATTCTCATAAGAATATACTCCTTTCGTTCAAAAATATAAAATATTTTTTTAGAAATTGAATGTGAAAAAATATAAAATATTTTTAATTTTTTAAGATATAATCATTGCCTTTTTTAAAAAGTATTCCTATTAATAGTGACTTTATATTTATTACAAGTTGTTTAATAAAAATAAATATAAAAAAATAGAATTAGTTTAAAAGTAAATAACTACTTTATTGAAAGGTAAGATTCGATTAAAAATGCTTTATATTTTTTAACGAAAGGAGTATATTATTTTTTTTTTACTTTTAGTTTAAATTATCAAAGTACTTCATAATGAGTGAGAGATTCACTTACACAAATATCTAAGTTAATAAATACAAGAGGTAAAATAGTAAAAAAAAATTTCATATATAATAGGTTATTTATATTTTGAACCAAAGTTAACTAAAGAAAAATACTTCTATATATTTTGAATTGAATGAAAAAGTTAATTAAGTCACGATTTATAAATAAGGTTAGTTGCAATTTTCAGTTTTTAAAACTGTCTGCATTTTTTCATTCATACTATCATTAAATATCTTATATAAAAGTTTTGATAATAATTAATAAAATTTTAATACATGATTTTTAAAAAAATAATAAATAAAGTAGAGTATAATTGGAAAAGAAAAATATAAAAATTATGTAATAATTTATATTTTGAATTAAAATTATTTTTAAAAAATATCTTACATTACCATTCAAACAAAATACAGCATCGAATGTGGGCACGCAAAAAAGAGCAATAATAATCAATGTATAGGAGGAACTACATGTGTCTGCCATGAAGATTTCAGAAATCTGTGTAGTCCCATCAGACCCAGATGTATATAGAAGCTGCCAGCGACGACAGTTGGAAGAATTTTCATGAGAAGTTAAGTTACCCTCTTTGCAGGGAATGAAACCAGAAACAAAGGCAGAGCATCAGTATCACTGCTAAAGTGAAAAACCGTTATAGAAACAAGGCCAAAATGGGAAGATCGGTGTTGTGCCCGTGAAATGATGCAATATAATTACCCCCAGGCTGCTCCTTTTCCCATCCTATGTCCTTTCTTCTTGTTATGTCTATACATATCAAAGTTTTAATTAATGATAACAAAGTCACTTCCTTTTCGGCTTTATCACTTGTATCGCCCATCCATTTCAAATTTACGACTTACCAGGTGCATCGGACGAGTTCTGGCTGATTTAATGGTTAAAAAAATGGAGGACGGTGGAGGAAGCAATGAAGAGGACAAAATGAACAAATATGATCGTTGATGAGATACAGGAAAGAAATAAATGTGGGGATGACAGGACAAAGCAGAGGGTAGCTAGCTATAACGATTAGGACAGAGCTAAAGTTCTGCAACTTGTCTCCTTCCTCTGCAGCTCCCATATAATATTAATCGACGACGTCTGCTTTCATTATTGTTTACTCCCTCCTGTCTACATTATAGACATGTTTTTTCAGCTCACCTTAAATCAAAATATAAAATACTTGTTAGGTTTTGATTTCTTTTATTTTTACTTTTATATTTATTAACTTAATTTATTATATAATATTTATTATATTTTTTCACTTTTTAAGCTGGTTAAAACTTTAGTAGTTTATAAAAAAATCACACTTTTTTATACTATAATACTTCATTTAAAATATTATCTTTCTCATTTAATTTATTACTGACAAGTGAGTAAAAGGGTAAAAAGAAAAACTGGTAATATTTGTAACTGAAAATGAAAATATAATTAAAAATTATAATTAAAAATATTTTATATTTTAAATCACATAAAATATTCTAAAAAGATTAAAGGCAGGCTTTCAATACAGAGGCACGACATCTCCGTGTCCTCAATGATCCCTCGTTTCAGTTTCTGTCAAAGTCAATCACCAGATATGTGCGTACACACACCTATAAATCACGCACGCACGCAAGTATGACTGTATACAATTTATAAATGTACAAAACACATACAGACAGACCCTCCCCCTCCCTCCCTCCCTCTCTCTCTCTCTCTCTGGGTGAATGAGGGGTCACTGGCGTGGCAGGTGGGTGGTACGAGTGTGTGACAAATAGGTCAGCAGTAATTGCTAGTTTGAGCTGGAGAATGCGTTTCATTAAAGCGATTTTCTTCTCTGGTTTCGTTCTCGGGACTTTCCTCTCCAAATGCATCCAATTTTCCCCTCTCATGCGTCAATTTCCACATCTACCTCTCCCTCAACAAACGTCTCTCTCTTCTCCCCCCTCCCCCAAAAAAAAAAAAAATGCTTAACAGCTAACAACATGCCGCATTTCCCAAACCAGCTTAAGAGAACAGTAAGGGGGCTTGATTCACCGGTCCTCATTCCTCAACTGGGTGATGTGTATGAGGTATAAACGACACACATCTTGCTCCGAAGTGCGTGCACTGAACATATGATATTTAGAGGATTCTTACCAAGTTTCAAAGATTTAACTTGCTGAAACTGGGCGTTAGGCTACAAGCATCGTTGTCTTCTAGCTAGGTTATAGCTAACAACATTCGACTCTTAAATCATCGACGTCATGGTGCATGGCTTCCCTCTCGTTTCTCTCTCTCTCTCTCTCTCTCTCTCTCTCTCTCTATGTGCCATCATAAACTTTACTAGGCTAATTTACGCATACGACAGGGGATTCAGGGACCAAATGACACGAGGGGTCCCTAGCAATAGCAATGGCCTAATCAGACAAATATGACAGATAAGGGACGAATTGAATGTGCATAGTTTGAAACCTAAAACCCGTCATAGCTATTGATGTGTCGGCCAGGTAACGAGCTAAGCAAGGGTGGCATTAACTTTTATTTATGTTATACGGTGTATCTAGGGCTATCTAGGGGGAGCAGACACTTCAATACGCTACCCTACATCTCCAAGGTTGAAGGCCAACAACGACTAAACTTCTTTAAACGCCAAGGGAGTAATTTATTTTTTTTGAAACATTGATCAATGTTTTGAGTTGCAATTCCAACCATGACAGCTAGCTAAGTACCGAATATTTATACAAGCCTCATGGAATAGCAAACCCATCCGTGCTTTAGAGCCCAGTTAATTGGGATCATGTATAAGCGTGGCGATGAATATAATAATGGTTAATGGGCGATGGCGTCCCCTGCAAAACATAAACGGTGGGGGGAAATGGGACAAAATTTAAAAACAAGGGAAGAGAAATGAATGTGTGGGTGGGGACAGGGCACGGAGAAGAGAAAAGTTTATTGATTGATAAGGCAAATATGGAAAAGACATTGAAGAGCACCCACGAAATGTATGAGAAAACCATAAATACAGCTCCCTCTCACCTGATCTCCGCAACCATCTCTCTCTATCTGTCACCCCCTTTATGTCCGTCGGCCTTCGCGCCGGCGAGGAAAGTGACGCCAAGAGTATTGGAAATTGTGTGATCAGCGTGTTGGCGATGGGATTGGATGATGCAGGCTGGACTGTGAGTCTCACAACTTGATTCTCTCCCATTCCCTGCTCGCTGATTGGTGACGTGGAATTCAGACAGACGTGATGATCCCGCTCATTCTCCGATTGTTCTAGGTCTTGCATTCAATTTAAGACATTTTAAACTTGAATTGTAGTAATATTTAATTTTTGAAATTCCATGGTGTTTGAGGAGCCATGATTCAAATCCAGTACAGCTCGAGGGACCTTGTTGCGAGCGGGTGAGGGTATATGCAAATGATGATGAAAGGAAGCTGGCTGAAGATTTGGTCATGATAGGGTTGCAATGGCAGTTCAGGAAAATGGGTCCTTCCATATTAATGTGTACGGCCCAGCCTTGTGCATTTTGTGATTCTCTTGCTGTACGGACTGTTGTTACAACACACTGCATAGTCTCTCAATTAATACAATGAGTCAGATTGTTTTAAATTAAAGGGAAAAAATGAATTGTTAGGAAAACATTAAACTAATCATGAAGGTTTGTTAAGAAAGCTAAGACTATGTTTTTAACTCTCTGTTTTTTTTAGCAAGTCCTTCTAAATAGCTTATCAAAATAAGTATTTTCAATATGTTCCTTGCATGCATGTTTAGCTTAAATTCTTTCAATAACCACTTCATACTCTCAACAATTTTCTCACATTTGACTAACTAAAATCATTTTTTAATCTCAAACAAACTATAGCCCTTAATTAGTTGGCTAGCTCTGGCGGTTTGAAATGTTTTATGAAATGATGACAACGCTGCTGGAAGGTCATGATTTCTGGATTAATGAAAACCAGGAAGCAGCCTTGCAGGCATGATTGTTTTCCATGGTCTTAACTTACCCTCCTCCACAAAACAACCACAGCTTCATTTCAATTGTCTCTTCAGCTTTCTTTTCCTGCCTTTGCTTTTAACATATTAACGTTCTCGCGAATAATGCATAAGTACAAGGCTGAATTTGAGGCCTAAGACAAAATGAGTAAAGGAAATTAACATATAATGATTTACCGATCCTCATACTTTCTATTTAACATTTTTTACCACTAAAAATAAAAAAAAATTAAACACTCAGTATTTTATACTAAAATAAATAAAGTTTGGATTAAAAAGTAACAAACACACCTGATAGTGAGTAGTATAGAGATGAAAACACAAAACCCTCATTCAATGGTTATGCTCCAGTGCTTTGGTTGGATCTAAAAATACGTATAAAAAAAATATTGCCACAAAAAAGACGTGTGATAATATACTTTCTTTAAGCTTTAGAATAAAAACAAAAAAGGGGAAGTGGGAGAGTGAAGACAAAAGGTGAGCGAGAGTTAGAAATTATGATGTCATAATGGAAATTGTAGAAAGATAATAAATAATAAATAATGATCAAACTGTGGCAATTCAATAATTAATTAACTATTATTTTTAAAATGTGTAAAGGTTTTCAAAAAAGGAAAGAATTGGGGTTTTATTTTTTTCATTTGGTGTTTATTACATATAGGTACAAATCCACCTATTTAATCCACAAATACTATATGCATTCCAGACTCTTTTGGGGCGCTAGACAATTGTCTTGATTGCCTGTAGCTCTCACGGCCATGCGTAACGTAAGTATACGTCATATAACAGTTGGAATTTAATATGAACGTTATATAGGAGACTAGGGCTGCATATGAATTTGATATTTAAGAAAGTTATATTATATATAATGACAATGAAAATGATTTATTGCCAACAAAAAATGAAGATGAAGTGAATACTATACAATCGTAAGGCCTTGATTCAAATGCATCTTCATGATTTTAGGCCCAAAAAAGAATGCATCTTGGAAATGGGTGGCTCTGTTGATGCAACGCCTTAACTGAATCACGTAGGCCCAGAAGCTAAAAGATGGGCGGTCTTATTCTCGTAGAGAAAAAGTGCCTTGCTATTTAATAGTCTATCTTTTTTTTTCTTTATCAACAAAAAAAAGATAGAGTATAGGAAATTTTTATAATTTTTTAACTATAGTCTTACTTTATATTTATTTCTTTTGAAAAATAATTAATTGAAATATCAACTATCCTGATTAACATACTCATATAAAATATTTAATTAAAATATAATTGAAAAGATATACGTGTTTTTTATACTAATGCCCCGCATTGCGAAATGGAGGGGGTGAATGTCAAATCTGGACCTCAAGCATCTTTGTGATGCCAAATGATGGTAAAAGTAATATTTATATTTTCAAAAGAATCATTCTCTTTTCTCCTATAAAGGATGGTGGACTTGATTTGAGGGATACAGAGAGCATGAACTTGACTTTACTGGCTATGTAGATTTAGGGAATTCTTAATGCTGAAGAACATTCACTTTGGATAACACTATCAATATTAAGTATTTTTCTAGTAGTGATGGGCTTCTTCATAAAATACCTTACAATACCTCTTAGTTTTGAAAAAGTATATTTAAAGTCTCAAATCTGATTAAAAAATATCTAACTTTGAAGGTAGGGAATAGAGATTCTTTATCACTAACCCATGAGGCTTGGTGGAAGCTTTTCGATAGAGGTCTTACTCATAATTTAAACATATCTAAAGTTTCTAATTTATGATTTCTAATACAATTATTTGGGTGATTGCTAAATGGAATGCCCTTCTCATCACCAAGCCCTATGGCAGGGAGGAGGCTAACTCCATTTTGAAGATACTTTCTTCTTTTATCGATATTGGCTAGTAAATTAATTTGAGATTTTGATTCTTACTCAATTAAGGATGGATACTCAAAACTTATTTCTACAAACCAAAATGGGTCCAAAGCCGGAAATGAATTTGGAATTTGCTTTGGAAACTTCATTTGCCTTAGAAAACTCTCCAATTTATTTGAAAAATTATTCATGGAGCAATTCCTACTAGGAATGTTTTGAATAAGCATCATCTTAGCATTATACTTCAATGTGTCCTTGGTTATAACGCCCTAACAACCTCGCATCACACCTTTTTGTGATTTTCCTTACACAAGAGCCACATGGTTTGGCTCTCTGCCTATATGCTCCTTGGACATTTCCATCTAAGGTCGGTCATTCAAACTTTAAAAATTTTATACCAAAATCAGGAGATAGACTTTAGAACACATTTGTCTACAATTGCATATGATTTGGTATGCGAGAAATCATGTTTTACTTATCGGTAAGGTAACCCTTGTTGAATAGGTCATTAGAGACTTTAATGGGCAGTGCATATTTTTTAAAGGTGCTTGCAGATGGAATGATATTCAATATAAAGGAAGAAATGTGAATCCTAAAACTTCTAAAGGAATTTCCAACTCTCACTCTCATAATCAAGCTCTCACAGCAATTTATTTCATTATTTATCATATTATTATTATTATTATTATTATTATTATTATTATTATTATTATTAAGGGAGCAAAAGTCATACACCAACCAAAAGTGATTTTGATTTTTGCTCCTTTAATATATATATATATATATATAATTATATCATAGATTAAACTAAGAAACATCTTTTATATAATTGTAAGCCTAAATTTAATCTATAATTAAATGCTTAAATATGTAATTAATTTTAAAAAATTTTAAATATAAATTTATTTATTCTAAATCTCAAAACACTATGAATTCTTAATTTTGAATTATTAACAAAAATTAAATTTTATAATTTATTTATTATCTAAACATTATGATGTTATAAGATATCCTTCTCCCCACTCAACGCGATGCTCTAGCCTATATAAAGAATCATACACATCATGCTCGTATAAAGAAGATGAATCTTAATCTAAAGTGGAATGTTAACTTAAACAAAATACATTTTTAATCTTCTAACTTTATGCATTATTTTAATTTAGCATATTAATTTTATAAAATACAAGTTCATTTATTTAATGGTAACTGATTTCTAGATAGTTTAAAATTTTTTAGACATTATTTTATATTTAGTTATAATAATAAAAGTGATCATCATTTAGTTATTTTTAAATTTTATAATATCTTCTTTGATTTTTATTTATACAAATAATTTATTATTTAATTGTTTTTAAATTTTATGATATCTTGCATATTCAACCTTTTTAAAACGTTTGCGCTCATCCATAAAATTAAATTATCTTCAAAAGCTATTAAAAGTAACTTTTCAAAATAATCATAAATATTTTTTAATTTTATTATTTTTAAAAGTTTAAATAAACATTACAACAATTTACAAAATAATTTTTTTAAACAAATAAATATTTTTTATAAAATAAGTTGAAACAAACGTATTTTAAATCTAATCCCACTAATTTCATTAAGAGAAAATGCTGATATTGTAATTTTTAAATGCTAACAAATATTAAGTTTCATTTTGAAAAATAGAATTGATTGGATTAAAAGATCATCCTTTGATAATTTGTCTTCATACATATATATATTTATATATATATATATGGAAGGTAATGGTCGACACTTGGCACTTTTCTCTAACTTTCCTCCCTGAGCGATCCCTTCCCGCTCTCCAGATGCTCTGGCAGTGGCGCTTCCACTAACACGTCAACGTCCGAGGAGAAAACATCGATGGAGTAAGTCCTCAAGGACCGTCCTTTGTGGTACTGACTTTCATTCCGAGGCAGTTATCCGTGTTATCGTGTAAGTTCATCTCATTTTTTAACATTGGAAGATGACTCTTCGTTTTCTGTTTGATAACTGAGAAAAATTGACAAAACATACAGAACAAAATCTTCGTAGTAACTCTTAAATGATGAAACTAGCCGCATTAGTTTGGAAGAAGTAATGAATTGAACATCAGATAGGGGAATTCTGGCCGAGTTATTCGGTGATGCTAGTATGTAACCTAAGCAAGGGCACACGTTTGTTTAAATATAAGCTGCCTTTCCAGAGCAGCGACTTTGTTTTATTATTAGGTGCAGTTCCAGAGATAGATAAATTTTGACCCAGAAAGAAAAAGGACGACAATAGAGGCGGGAAGGGTCTAGGAAGGAGTTAGAACTGACAACAATTTGGTTTAATTAGAACAAACAATAATTGCCAATATAATGTGGTCTTTGTCCACAATATTGCTTTCTGTTGACTACTATTTTGTTAAGGTTTCCATCGGGTGTTGTCTTGCCTGTTCCCTGATGGGAAAACGGTATTTGCTTCCTCTTATACTGTGTTTGGTTAGATGTTTTGGAGGCCTGGGTTGGAGGGAGGGGAGTTCCTACTGCCTTTCCTCATTATGGTTCAGGAAAAAAAAAAAAAAAAAAGAGGCAATGGAGGACAAATTTTAATGAAGCTCCCTCCTCTCTAAAATTTGGGATTTTCGGAGGCCAGGGTTAGGGTGTAGATTTTGTATATTATAACTGAAACAACTTTGTAAGGTTTTAATATTTTTGAATTTCCCTTTACATCTAATAACTAAACCAACTATGCTAAAAAAAATCATATATATATATATATATATATTACCTTTTCTTTCTTTCATTTTTCTCTTTTCCTCTTTCTTCCAAAATATTAATCAAATAAATCTTTAAAAAATATATTAATTAAAATTTACAAGAAGTATACATGAGATTTTTGTAACGAATAGGCTGAAAGTTGACATTTGTAAAGCAGGGGAAATGATTAATTGTATTAAAACCATTTTTTCTAAAAATCAAAAATAGAAAAAAATAACTTTATTTAGATAGGAGTATAATAGCTATTTTTTATCAGCTCCCTTCAGCTTCTTCCATACTAAACAAGGTATCATTTAAATCACTCCCCTCAACCCCTCATCACTTATTTGCTGAACCAAACTTTGGGCCTCTTTTGTGAAGTATCCTTCTTTTTGATTGCTTGAAAATTCTGAATGCAGGTTTCTCAAATGAGCTTTACAAGAGAAAAAAGAAAGGAAAATATGATGACTTTTCCGGACTGAAAGAACTTCTAGGGCTGATGGAGATGCATATGGAAAAAGTAGGAGATATAGAAATAATAAAGTGCAATGTTAACAATTCAGAAAGTTGTCGGTCTAATGAATTGGAAGAGAGAAGTGAGAAAGCTGAAGCAAAGTGTGCTGAATTAGAATTAGAGCTTCAGAAGAAAAATAAGTATTGTGAAGAACTTGAGGCTAAATTTAATTTACTGAAAAATGGAAAATTTGCAATGGACGATAAGCTGAAGTTTTTGAGCTCATCAAGTGAAGCGCTCAAAACAAACCAATTCAGTAGTGAAAGAGAGAAGAAGAAGAAGAAGAAGGATGTTGATTTAGAAGAGGAGGATGAAGGGGAAGATAAGGTTTCTCAACTAACAGTTGAAATGAGGGTCTTGGAAATTGAGAAGATAAAGGCTGAGAGTGAGGCTCAGGTCTGGAAAGAAAGATTCAAGAGATTGGAATCAAAGGCATTGGAGTCAGGGCTGAAACTTGCCAATTTTCATGAAGGAAATGGAGTGCAAGATAGCGTCTTGGTTAAACCTGAAGAATTCTCACATCCAGGAACTAGCTTGAACTTCTTGCAGAAGCAGGGGAAAGTGATGAATATGGATGATGTTGCTTCTTGCAACTCGCTATCAGCAGGTAATAACCTTCCTATATATGGGTTAGTTAGAACTTTGGTACCTCCGCCATAAATTGTTTTACATATATGCAAACTTCCGTTAATTAAAAGAATGGGATTCTCATGTCGTTCTTTTATTTTTATTTATTATTTTTGCTTATATATGTGATTATGAGTTTCATTTTATAAATGGAGTTAATTTTCTTTTGATCAGTATTTTCGATCTGATCTTTTAGTGAGGTTTAGCTAACTGTGTTTCCTGAGTTTTGATAATTAGAGAGTATCTTGTGATGTGTTTCCTCCTAAACAGCTTCTACATTCTCAAGAATTATCAGCAAGTGTCATTTGGGCCCACTTCTGTGCTAGCTACTTCTATAATGAGTCTTGTAGGATTCTTGAAGCTAAATTATATTGAAAATACTCACCAAAAATATATGAACACGCACGCACACACATAAAATGAAATTACAATGAGATATTCTCCCCCCCTTTTTTTTACCCTTAAAGTTTTGTACTCAGGCATGCGCATGCATGTCTCTGTGTTTTTCTACAGGGGTTAAAATGATTTTATATCATGCATCAATTTGTTACTTACAAAATTTAGACATATGAGCAATTCCTGACAGTGTCTGTTTGTATCTCCATATCTGTGGGACTTTATAGGGACTACTTCTACTGAAATCTGTTGGGGATATCTTTTACATGACAAAGCACCGCTTTACAGGAGAGCTAGAAAACATTTGGCTTTAGAATCTGAGCAGAGTCCCTGCAACAAGATGGTTCCATGTACACCTAGGGGTCAAAAACCTTCTACCAATGCAGTTTACATTATTGACAGTGATGATGAACCTAATATTACCCAACAACCTATGCTGGATAATCAGGATAGCGGAAACATTTCTTTTTCAACATGTGTTGCAACAGAAGAAGAAAAGTTGTCAGATAAGAGTTTGAAAGCGAGTTCTTATGGTGGAAACAATGAAGATTTGAATTTTGGCACGGATTTACAATTTACTGCAAGGCCTAAGAGGAAACGAACACAGAATGTTGTTACTAGTGAGTCTGAAAGTGATGATGATAAGCTGCCAATTTCTAAACTCAGGAGGATGATAAGTGCTGACCAAGTCAGATGCAACTTGAATGAATTAGTGATTGCCACATCTCCTGTAGATGACCAGGTCACTGATACTGTAACCCCTAGGCGGCGTCTAGTGCCCCTCAGAAAATGTGTGATTAAGAGTCAGCAAGATAAAAAGTCTTTATGTGGACCTAGTGAGGACAAGCATGAGCAAATTATCCCTACGAATGGGGAGACTGATGATGATGAATTGGAAGAGGTTTCATCAGACAGTGAGGAGGGAAGCTTAAGTAATTTTATTGTCCATGATTCTGATGTATCTGATCAAGAAGATGCATCTTGCGATGGTAAGGCAGAATCTCATTCGCAGGATGTATCTGATGGTCAGGTAGATAGAAAGTCTTCATGTAGACCTAGTGAGGACAAGCATGAGCAAGGTATCCTTGCAAATAAGGAGATTGATGACAACAAGTCAGATGAGGTTTCGCCAGCCAGTGGGGAGGGAAGCTTAGGTAGTTTTATTGTCCATGATTTGGATGCATCTGAAGACGCATCCGATGGTGATGTAGACTCTGATTCCCGGGACGTATCTGATGGGGATCTAAACTTAAATGAGATTCTTTCACAAATACAAAGGAATAAAGACCAGAAAAGGAAGTGGGAATTTGAGGCTGACATGCTTGCAGCATTCGGAAAGGATCCTCAAATATGCATGAAGGCTGTATGTACTCTTTATCGTCAGCAAACTTCTGAGGAACGGACAATCAAGGGATCATTGCACTACAATGGGAGGGGATTTAGCAATGTTGATGCTTTCAGGTGGGCTCAAAAGACAATTGTGATAAATTATGCTATTGGGCATAGGTTTTATCATATGAGAACTGATTGCTAATGATTCATGCCTGCCTGTACTTTCTATGTGCATGTTGGAGATCGACTTTTACATATTCTATTGGATTTTTATCTTGCTATAGATATTGCACATCCTCTTTCCCCACCCCACTTTCTTTTTTCAATGTGACAAGGAAGTTTCTTTCTATTGTTGTAGTCCTCTTTTAATCCATTACTTGGTCGTGTCATACAATCAGCTTATTTACTTCCTTTATTTTCAGTTCAATTATGGACCCTGGGACCTGGGTGTTCTGTCATTGTGATTATTCTATTTCTATAAATTCCATACGGAATGGGTTTAATATCAGAGAAGGATTATGACGCAACTTTTTCACTAAATGAGGATTGTATTCAATTAAAACGCATGTGATAATGTGATAAATACAACCGTCATTGTTCTATTATATTCCCTGATTACATTCTTTATTATTACTTTCTTAGTTGTTAGAGAATCGCATGGAGGTTTTCAATCTAGTACTCTAGTGGCGCCTCCTTGTTAGTTTCTAAACATGTTACTCAAAAATGGGTTCGGAGTTTGGGAATGTAGCTTGTTTTCTTTCCCTTTGGGGATAAACTTGAGAGCAGATAGCCAATCACGTGCTCCATGTATGTAGACAAATTCCTAGAAAGGATGGCCTCTGGTTTATCAAGAATGTATGTCGGATTCGACGTGTCACTCATGTTTGATGGACTATGGGGCCATTTTGTTACTCTGGAATAAGTTCATAGCATTTTCTTGCCGGAGTATATTTAAATTCCTAGCAGTTTCTTATGTTTTCTCGCTGTACTTTTACTTCTGCAGAGGCAGTACTTTGGCTGAGTTCCTCACCGATGGAGATCCCCTCGGTGATGTGAAAAAGTCTGTCAAGGAGTTGAAGGAATATGATCCGAAAGGAGTTGAAATATGCAGAACAATGGCGCTTCGCTACTCAAAGCAGCTTTTTGAAATCTACAAGAACAAAGAAGATCCTTTCTTTCCGTGAGAACGTAGGCCAGCAACATTTGAATCGTATAGCCTCTGCCTCTTGGATGGTGTAATTATATTTATGATCAATAATTATTATGTTAATATTTTTGTTGGGGTTTGTTTCTAAATATGCATGTTCTGACGTGGCTAAGCTATTTAAACGCGTTGATTGCCTGATTGTTTACCACATGCATTGATCACAAGGAATTTGAAACAGATTGTGATGATCGTGCAAGATGACAGCAGAGGGAATGACCCTGTAAATGAAGATAACCCATTCAGCAAACACAATCGTTATGTAAATAATAATGTTGCGGAGGTAAACCACGAGTTAAAAAAAGGAATGTGTGAAGGACAAGTTAACGAGGAAAGAGGAAAGCGCGGAGGAGCCCGTGTGAGAAGGAGGAGGGCATTATAAAAAGGAAGTTTGGTGATTGTTCATCTTGGCCGGCCGAACATCTCTCCCACAATTTTTGCATACGGGGCTTTCTCTCACTTCTCTCTATCTTAAAAGTTTGAAGACAGAGAGGGAGGGAGAGGGAGAGACAAAGGAAAACAGAAGAGAACAGGATTGATGGCTGTTTCAAGTGCTTCACTGGGGCTGGTCGTTTTGGTGGGCCTCATTTGCGCTGCCCTTTTGCCCGTCGCTTCCGCTCAATCCCCAGCTCCTGCTCCTTCTCCCAAAAGCGATGGTTCGCATCTTCTTCTGCATCCATCACTCTCTTGTTTTGCCCATTGATGATTAAATTGGTAGGTTCATTGAAAATTGCAGGAACCTCGGTGGACCAAGCGGTGGCGTATCTGCTGATGGTGGTGGCGCTGGTGCTCACTTATCTCATTCACTAAGCCAATTAGGGAAGGTTTCCAAGGCTGAGATGCGCGCATTTATATATGTGACCGGAAACCAAGAAATAGAAATGTTAACGGAGTAGTGCCTTCTTGTGTACATTTTTTATTCTCCCATGTTAATCTAATTTTGATTCGCACATTACTCTACCTCCCCACCCCACTCCTTTCCAAATTTTAAAAATTGTCATCGGGTCAGGAAACGCATTAATTGATGAGCACGCTGCTCATCAACCTCCGGAGTGATCTGAACTTTTCATTTCTCACCTGTTGATTTAAAATTATTTTTTTAATATTTTTATATTATATGTATTAAAATAAAAATACAGAAAAATTATAATATTAAATATACCCTGTTTTTGGTGCTTGTCAAAGGATAAATATTATGGTATTTGTTATCCTGATAAAATATGGATAGTCTAAATTTAAGGTTTTTACTTTTATTATTTTATATTTATTAAAATAAAAATGTATAAAAAATATAAATTTTTTTAATAAATATATCTATCACAGATTTAATTTGAATAATTTTATTTAATATTATTTTTAATAATTTTTATAAATTAATCATTCAAATATACTCTAAATAGTATAGATATAGTAATCTAAAAACTTCAATTTAATATTAAAAATTTTATAATTTTTATTAATTGAACATTTAAATATGCTCTAGACAATTTATATTTACTATTATATCTTTTTATAATTTTTATTTTAATAAATATAATGTAAAAATATTTAAAAAATAATTTTAAATCAACGCAAGAGAATATTTGAGAGAAAATGAAAGGTACAGATCATTTCGTAAAGGAAATGAGCACGACGGTTCCGTCTGGTCAGTGCTACTCAGACAGATATGCTATTTTAGAGGTGGGACGGGGACTCGGCCCAGCTCGGTGGCATCGGAACATCTCCCGGTGGGTGTCTTGGTGCATATCAACACCATCCATTTTTTCTTGTGTGATCTAACAGCTGAAATTTTACTTAACGAAATGGCGTAGTTTTGAAGGAAGCCGTCTAAGCCATTTGTTTCTTCAAGAAATCTTGATCGTGGTTCCGCATTACATCATCACAGAAGCGCTGGCATCATCTCAGCAGACAAGTGAGGTGCAAGGACAGATTTTTTTCCCCTCTGGACGTGATTTTTTCTTTCCAAGTGAATTTTTAATATCTATACAAGCCCACATTACTTTTTCTCACTCTATTATTGCAGTTGAAGCCACCAGAAGCTGGACTCGGCTTGCCTGCTGCCTTTTTGTACCTCCATTGCATTTGGGAAAAGAGATGGGTCCAGATTTATTCTTTTAATTCTTTTATATTTATTAAAATAAAAATTTTAATAAATCTAATCCCCAATCTAAATAGTTTAGGTTTAATATAGGTGATCTAAATTTATAAAAATTTAAAAAATATAAGTATTAATCTAAATAATTTAAATTTAACATCAATGATTTAAATTTATAAAAAAATTTAATAAATTTGCCCGTGAGTCTAAATAGTTTAGATTCAATGCAGATAATTCAAACTTAACATTAAAAATTTATAAAAATTATAAAAAAAAATTAATATTAAATTTGAGTGGTCCATAATATATCTAGACAGTAAATTTATAAAATTAAAAAAATTTAACATTAAATTTATAAAAAATACGTCTTTTCATTAAGTAAAAATTTCAACAGTTGGATCACATGACATGAAATGGATGTTGGAGATCTGCATCAGCACCCGCCAGGTTTGATCGACCTGGTTGCGTAAAAATAGGTGAGAGAAAAATCATCCAAGTCTTTTTTTTTTTTTTGGACCAGCCATCCAAGCCATTAAAACTATACCCCCAAGCAATAGAAAAAATTTTACCTGATGGATTTGGCTGGTTCAGATCAAACTTATTTGCAACGAGTTATATGCCATCCATGATGAATCCTCAAAAACCACGAATAAGATCTTGTGCAGTGGCCAAAAGAAAAAAAAATATTTAAATAAAATAAAAGTCCTCCTCTGTTATTACTGTACATCACCCTTCTCACTAGACAGACCCGTGTCGTGCACTTATTATCTTGGCACCAAAGCATTTTGCAGAGTTTACCATTCTATTGCATTTTCAATGGAATAAAAATGTTTCTCATTATTTCACATGAAACAAATCGCATTTCGGATATTTATGTAATTTTTATAAAACATCTAGATATTTATTATACGAAAAAAGTTTACTATATAATCAAAATTCTCCCAAATAAGTTGATGATTGATTCAATTGATATAAATCAATGTTAGGAAGACCAAATACTGGTTCATAGTTCAATGGCTAGACTTGTTAGGTTTTTTATTAAATATGCTTAAAGATAATTTGCTTATCAAAATAGCTTAAGTAATTTAATTAGACATTTCCTAAATTTTATATATACATTATCTATATTCTAGTTTTTAAATTGGGACTTCTTCTTGTCTCTCTAATAGAACCGTGGTATGACACTTATCTAACCAATTATGAATAAATTAATATATTTTAAATATTATATTATTAAAATAGAAAGAAATCACCACTACAAAAAAAATATAAAATAATTATTTTAACTTATATTTAATGGTTTTGAACTGTTGAGTAATTTGGTACTAAACATTCTTGAAATCTTTATTCAACAATTTTAATTGTTGAATATTCTTATTTTATTCAATGCTTTTTTTTACAAAAAAATATTGAATATTTGTTTTAGAGAATTGGCAATATTCAACGATTCTGGCCTCAAAACCGCTGAATAGTTTACAATATAAAATGATTCTATGACACAACTGTTTTACACTTGTTCAATATAGAAAATATTCAATGATTTTTTTTTTATAACCGTTGAATATTATAATCAAATTTTTTTAAAATAGGGTGCTTCATTTCTAGTAACCTTACTATATTCTAGAACCTAAACACACATTTCAGCTAACAATTATCATGCATATACATGAATATATAATAAATTCAAAATTTAATTTTAGCGTAGTAGATGAGGGAAGAGCATTTATTTTTTTTGGTTTACTTCTTTACTTTTTTTTTTTTCCCATTCAACTTGAGCTTTTTTCTCCTTTTCCAATTCCAAAGCTATTCTTTCTCTTTTCAATTCAATCTAGCCAAAAAAGGTAATATAAATTAAGTAATTTTTATATAAATTGAGAATATCATTAAATCCACGAACTGCAATGGCAATTATGTCCCTAGTACAACCTTGATATACCTGAAATATGTTGCAATCTTCGCAGAAAATTTGATCTGCAACACATAATGTGTAAAAAAAGAAAAGAAAAACACAAATGAAAATAATTGGTCAAAGTACTTTGAAAGTACAAATAAACATCTCAAATTCTTTTATATATGAATTTGAAAAAAAAAAAACTAACTTCTTTATTTTGTGTTAAGAGCAACCCATAGCGAAGATGGCTAGGTAAAGAGAAATTTATCAATGGAATGGAAGAGGAAGACGAAGCTAGGAAAAGGAAGAGAAAGAGGAAGATGAACAGGCGAAGTGCCACAAGACCCATGAACGAACAAATCCATAGTAGTACAAGGAGAAATTGATAACGACAACCCAAAAACGACGTTTCAATGATGGAGGAATGGTGGGTTTGGATGAAAATGCAATATTGAAGCTTGGGGAAGGAGTTCAATAAGAGTATTTGAGTTTTTAAAGAGAAAATAAAAAATTTTACACAATTTCAAGTAAATGATTTGAGAAAATGTGAAAAAAATTATTCAATAGTTTTTATAAAAAAATTATTAAACAATATTCAACGGTTGTTATAAAAAAATTATTGAGTATCTAAACTCTTTACTCAATAGTTTTTATAAGCAACCATTGAATATTGATGAAATGTTAAAAAATAATAAAAATAAAATAATACTCAATAGTTATATAGCATAACAGTTGAGTATTGTGATGTAATACTCAACAATTTTACTAAAAACTGTTGAATATTTGAATTTTAAATTTTCATCTATGTACAAATAATGAGTTTCTTTTAAACTGTTGAATAAATGATATTATATATTACCATTTTTTTTTAGTAAAAATGATTACATATAATAATAAAAATGAATGTTTCAATATTAAATAAAATAAAAAATACCAAAAAAAAAGATAAACAAGGGGGGGGAATGGCAGGGGAATAGCTCCCTCGAGTTAATTTTTTTCTTTGATATTTGCATAGTATGATGTATATCCAGCCTCAAGAATTGTATAGTGCGCATACATTGATCGATCAACTTTGCAAAAGTTTGAGACATGTGGCGTGTGACATCCGCGAAACTATTTCTCAAACAAATTTGTCAACTTTTTAGAAGTTTTTAAAATAGAATTACAAGTGTCAACGTTCATCTACCTACATTATAAATTTTATTCCCCTTTTCATCCCACTTCAATCTATGCATGCGTCAAAAGGCCCTTCTTAATTACGAATTGTTGATACTTGATGATTCAGGTCATCAGGAACAGTTTTTTGTAGCTATTTTGTCATTTCTGCCTGAATCTAGACTCTAGATTCTAGAGTTTAGGTGCAAGAAAAAGTACGTATGACTCACAAGGCCGACGCGGTACGGTGAAGCCTTGAATTAAACATTAAAAATAATTTAATTTTAACTTATTTTCATGTGCTACTTATTTTCATGTGCTTTGGCCTTCGGGAGCTAAAACATGGTGAAATTAATTTGCCTCGAGTAATTAAAGTACTCACAAATCGAAATAACTATAATTATCTTGTCACGAAGAGTATTGTACCTAACCAAACAAAATATCTCTACTTTCCCTCTTAATTACTCCCTCTATTTTTATGTATAATATAGTTTTTTATATAAATCAATAAAAGTTCATTATCTAACTAAAAAACAGTAATATTTTAATTTTTTTCCTTAATTATTATTGAACAACAAATATTAAGTGTGTCAGAGATGTTAAGTCTCAATTAATAATAAAAAGGTCACGAACTCCCCTATCACAGTTTCTCGAACGTAAAAAGATACAAAATTTTAATAAAACAAGTGTTCGATTGTTATTAAAATGTGAAAAAATTACAAACTTAAAATTAAAAATTAAAAAAGGCTAACGAATGTAAAATTACGAGTCTCTATGACCTATTTGAACAACTTTTTATATTTAGCCCAAACAATTGTTAATAAAAAATAAATTTATTTTTTAAAGTAAATTAATGATAATACTTATCTTTTTCTTTTTTTTAATTTAATAAGGGTATAATGGTTAATTATTAAAAAAATATACTAACAACCTCTTACATTTAAAAATAAAAAAGTTTAAAAAAAAACCTCTTATCTACAAGAATAGGGGGAGTATCTATATATGGAGTGATTCATCTTCACTGCTCATCAAGGTGGTACTAGTCACAATGATGAGATTAAGACCATCTAAATTTTCAATTAGGACTGTCCTAATTTATTTTTTTCAATTTATATTTATTAAAATTAAAATTAAATTTTTTAATAAATATGTTTATTCCAATCTAGATGGTACATATTTGATTTAAATTATCTAATTTAATATTATAATTTTTATAAATTGACTATCCAGATGTATTTTAAATAGTTTAAGTTTAATAATTTTTTTATATTTTTTATAATTTGTTATTAAATAAAATATTACAAATAACAATAATATCCTAAGTGGAAATTTTAATTTTTTTTAAAATGTAAGTTAAAGATTTTAAATATAGACTTTTTAAAGTAAATCTGAATACATATAGTTAATTTATAAAAATTTTTAATACTAAATTTTAACTATCCAAATTAAATATAGACTCTTCTAGTTTGGTGATAAGTACATATATAAAATTATTTTAATAATTTTTTATTTTAACCAATATAAATTTAAAGTATTAAATTAGAATCATACAAATTTAATTTAAATGATTTAGGTCTTATCAGTATGTAACACAGAAGATGGATGCATATATATGGAGGCTAATAAAGTTAAAAAGATTGGAAAAAATATAATTTTAAATCTTATATTTTGCTCACATTTTATTATAAATTCCTGTATTTTTTTAATATTATAAATTCTTACACTTTTATTTTTTAATGTTTTAAATTTTTAAATGAATAAAATGTAAAGACCACATAAAATATTAAAAAAATAAAAATATAAAGATTTAAAATATTAAAAAGATATAAAAATTTATAACAAAATAAAAGTATTAGAAACAAAGTTATGTTTCCCCTAGAGATTATCATTCTCGGATCACCGTACGCACGCTGCCGAGAACTTTGATTTGATTGCTTGAATTTGGTCTGCTTGAAAATGCCACGAGAGCAGCGAGTTTACCTAGGTAGTGTACATAGTTTTGTGCTTGTTTGGACTTTTTTGTTTTTCCTTGAACGTTTGGACTTTAACTCTACCCTCCTCGCACGCGTAGCGTGGTATAACAAATCATAATCGTAGACACAAGGATATCCATTTATTCCATCAATGCGAGGAGAATATCAATGTCAGTACCAATGACAATTTTCTCGTCCTTGTTCATATCTCTCAAGCATAGGACTGGTCGTCCTCTCATTGTGTATAGCTATATATGTAGGCTGTAGCACCAAAGGTCCCGGCAGAAACCATAGTAAGTAGCAATTTCGAGAGGCGCGCAGAATGGGCTTGGCGGTGCTCGAAGCTCTCGACTCAGCTCGTACACAATGGTACCACATTACGGCCATCGTCATCGCCGGCATGGGCTTCTTCACGGACGCCTATGATCTCTTTTGCATCTCCACTGTCACTAAACTCTTAGGTCGCTTGTATTACGCCAACTTAACAGCCGACAAACCAGGAGAACTTCCCCCCAAAGTCAACAACGCAGTCACAGGAGTCGCCCTCATTGGAACCCTCGCTGGCCAACTATTCTTCGGCTATCTTGGAGACAAGCTCGGCCGCAAGAAAGTGTACGGCATCACCCTCATTCTCATGATCGTTTGCGCCATATGCTCCGGCCTCTCGATGGGTAGAACCGCCCCAGCTGTGTTGAACACTCTCTGCTTCTTCAGGTTCTGGCTCGGCTTCGGTATCGGCGGTGACTACCCTCTCTCCGCCACCATCATGTCGGAATACGCCAACAAAAGAACACGTGGTGCTTTCATCGCCGCCGTCTTTGCCATGCAAGGTGTGGGACTCGTATTTGCCGGATTGGTGTCCACGGTGGTTTCGCGTCTTTTTTTGTCCGCCTATCCTGCGCCCGCATATAAGGTAGACCATAAGGGTTCGACGCCAGATGAAGCTGACTTTATGTGGCGAATAATTCTCATGGTTGGGGCCATCCCTGCAGCTCTGACATTCTACTGGCGAATGAAGATGCCGGAGACAGGTCGTTACACGGCTCTCATAGAGGGAAATGCAAAGCAAGCTGCCGCGGACATGGCCAGAGTTTTGGACATTGAAATCCAAGCCGAGCAAGAAAGGTTAGGTCAGATGAAAGCCGCGAATCAATATACCTTATTCTCCGATGAGTTCTTTCAGCGACATGGGCGGCATTTGATAGGCACGATGAGCACGTGGTTCTTGTTGGACATCGCGTTCTACAGCCAGAACTTAACCCAGAAGGATATTTTCTCATCTACGGGGCTGGTTGACAAGCCGGAGACGATGAGTGCTTTAGAGGAAGTGCGCCAGACGTCACTCGCCATGTTCGTGATTGCCTTGTTGGGCACATTCCCGGGGTACTGGTTCACCGTGTTCTTCATTGAAAAAATCGGACGCCACAAGATCCAACTCATGGGCTTCTTCATGATGTCGTTCTTCATGTTCGTGATCGGTATTCGATACGAACACCTCCAAACCGATAAGAACCTCTTCGCTTTGCTGTATGGGCTGACCTTCTTCTTTGCCAATTTTGGCCCAAACAGCACGACCTTCGTGCTTCCGGCAGAATTATTTCCGACAAGAGTGAGGTCTACTTGCCATGCGCTGAGTGCGGCGTCGGGGAAGGCGGGTGCAATTGTGGCGGCGTTTGGGGTGCAGACCTACACGTTGGATAGGAAAGTCAGTAAGATCAAGAAGGCGATGATACTGTTGGCGGTGACCAACCTGATTGGATTTTTCTGTTCATTCTTGGTGACGGAAACCAAAGGGAGGTCGCTGGAAGAAATCTCCGGTGAGGATGACAGGGAGAATGAAGTCACCCCGAATTCCCAAATTGCTAGGGCTGCAGAGAAGATTCCACAGGGAAGTCGCACTCACACTGAATCAATGTGAAGACAGTTTGTATAAACATACGCGCGCCTATATTGCGCATGGATGGGAAGGTTTTACATGTGGCAGAATGCGCGCCAATAAAAGGATACATTGAGTTGGTAGAGATAGTTTCAAATGCAAAAGAATAAGGTTTTAGAAGGGAGCATCTAATGTACGTAATAACAGCTTTCAAGTGAAGTTTGTTGGCGGACACAACAAGCCCTTGAGTGGTGAATATAACAGCTTTCAGTCCCTTGTTCACTCCTAAATTATTTTGCTTTCAAGAGTTATCCCTATCTATCTTTCATACGCAATCTCACACATTTTGCTTCACCTATATCTCTATTGTCTTGTGCTCATCTAAATTAGTTAAATTGGCTATTATACATATATATACTGTCACACTTTATTTGAATGCTGAAATGAAAACTTTGAACGGTTCAGATTTTTTTATTTTTAATTCAAAATTGAATATTTGTTATCTTAAACGCAAAGCAATATTAATTTCGCAACAATGAAAATATGAAATAAATAAATAATATTTCAACCTTTAAAAAAAATACAAGAATATATAATATAAGGTCTAAAAGACTAAAATACGTAGATAGTTTTATTTTAGATGGATTGAAAGGTACGGGCATGCACCAAATTGCTTGTATATTTGTATGCAAACACATTAGGAGAAGATGTAATATAATATAATGATTGGTAAGTAGAAAAATGTTTTCTATAAAAAAATGAAAAATTACATTTTTCATTTTCTTTCTTGATACATATTAATCATTTTTTTATAAAAATATTTTTTTTTATAAAATGCCATTTAGATTCTAAACTATAGATCTTCAAACCTTAAACTTTAAAAAAGTATATTTTAAACTCTAAACAAGTAAAGTTGGGATAATTTTGCCTCTAATGTTAACTTTCAACAAATGTTCGTCAACTTCATTTGAAGAAAATTATATTTTAAGCCCTAATGTAACAGAAGTTTATTGAAAGTTAATAATAGAGGCAAAATTACTCTAACTTTAATTATTTAGAATTTAAAATATACTTTTTTAAAATTTTAGAGTTCAAATTGCCCCTGAACTTATAGTTCAAGGTTCAAATTGTATATTAATCTTTTTGTATTTTAAAAAATGCACTCTAATCAATAATAATTTAACAATAACAAAAAAAAGCATATTTTACATATTATATCAATTTTTTAAAAGATTTTGAAGGAGTGTGTAAGTTTCATAGTTCAAATTGATCAATAAAGGTGAAAATTCATAAAACAGAACCAAATGCTTTTATAATAAATAAAGAGACAGAGAAAAAAGTGTATAAAAAGAAATCTATTCTAGATTTTTTCCTAACAAAGAATGATAATTTTTTTATCGATATTATTATGACATTTCATTATGCTAAAGAACAAACAAGAAAAAATATAAAAGTACACTTATAGCAAAAGATTATGTTATGTTCTTATTGTTGCCACTGATAACCTATCAAAACTTAACCCAGTAAGAAGAAAAATAGTCAACTTGATATTGTCTCATTCATACCCACTATAATCTCTACCAAAAACTACTTCACTCATTATTACAATTTACAGCCTTCTTTTATAAAGTTTCATCATCATCATCATCATCATCATTTGCCTTTTTTTTTTATTCCTTCTTCTCATATCCTAGGAAATTTGTAATATTACCACAAGTTAATATATAATTTGAAACCTGAACTATAATTTTAAGGGCAATTTAAACATTAAACTTTTAAAAAGGTACATCCTGAACTTTAAACAATTAAAATTAAGGTAATTTCACCTCTATTATTAACTTTCAATAAACATCCATCAAATTGAGGTCTAAAATGCAATTTTTTTCTAAATGAATTCAATGGATGTTTGTTGAAGGTTAACAGTAGGGGCAAAATTGCTCTAACTTTAATTGCTTAGAATTTAAAATGTACCTTTTTAAAGTTTAAGGTTCAAATCGACCCTGAACTTATAGTTTAGGTCTAAATTGCATATTAACTCTTTTTCATATACTAAACATTGTCTAAAATGGGATATACATTCATTTACAAACATAAATTAACCTAAAATCATAAATCCCTTCCAATTCTGAAATAAATTCCCATAAAGAAAACTATGATCTCTTGTGTGACCATAGGTTAAGGGCTCTTGTCAGGAATTTAAGAGTGGGAATTTTGCAATTTCTGGTAATACAAAAAAAAATGAAAGCTAATTTTGCTTGAGTTCAAGCCATTAATCTTGCTATATCTAAGGCTTCTTTCTCCATTAAAGTGGGCAGATGGAGTTGAGTCAAAGGTTTGGCATTAGGAGTATCAATTAGGAGTTTGGCCCTTTTAAATCCAAAAATAGTTAGAGCTGGGCCACTACTTTGGAGCAGAAACCCTTTTAAGCACTTTTATTATTTTTCTTAAAAAAATTTCAATCTAAAAAAAACTAGATATCTAACTACAAATGAACACCTTAGACTCATTCATCCTTCCGTCATTCATTCATTAAGATTTAGCTAATAATGTTAGCCAAGTGTAATTTTTATTGGTGTTAATTTTGATATTGCTATTTGATATTATACTTAGATGTTTAAGGTGAAAGCTATCAGAGACAAGAGAGAGAAACTAGAGAAGGATTGAAAAATGTCATACCTATTATTGAGATGAAGTTTACATTATATACACAAAGAAAATAGATAATACAATAATGACTAATAACTATATAATAATATCTCCTAATAATAAATGAGATATATACACAATAATAATAGAAGATATTTGGAGAATATTCTAGATAACATCCCACATAAAACTCAATATGGCTTAACAGAAAGCAACTTGAGTTTGTTTACCAGAAACTGAAAGTAGCCTAAATAAAAGATTTTGCAAATGAGTTCGTCGGTTGATACTTGGTTTGAATTGGAACAAGTTGGATGGTGCACCGAATAACATGCTGCCAAGTTAAGTGACAGTCAATCTTAATGTGTTTGATCTGCTCACGAAATACATTATTATGAGTAATCTTAATTGCAACTTGACTATCACAATAAATTTCCGTGGAGGAGCTCAGAGATGCTCCTAACTCATCAAGTAACCAACAAAGTCAAAGTACCTCAACAGTAGTGTCTGCTAGTACATGATATTCTGACTCAGCACTAGAGCGAGAGGCTAATGTTTGCTTCTTACTTCTCCAATAGATAAGAAAATGATCGAGGAAGATACAAAAACCTGTCGTAAATCATTGATCATCACAATCACCACCCTAATTGGCATTAGAGTAAGCTCGTAGTGCAAGATAGGAGCTAGCAGAGAAGTGAAACCTATGATACAAAGTGCCTCTGATATCCTAAATGATCCAAAGAACTATTGTATGAATAGTTGTGTGAGGCTAAGACATAAACTAGCTAATAACATGAACTGCATAAGGAATATCAAGACGAGTGACAACAAGATAGATAAGGCCCCTAACCAGCTAGCGGTAACGGGTGGGATTATCCAACAAGATGCTATCAATGGAAACATAGTGAACATTTAATTCAATAGGAGTAGTTTCAACCTCCTAATTAGAAAGATGAGCTTAAGATATCAAATAGGTAATATACTTGACTTGAGAGAGAGATATACCATCACTCCCATGGTGGACCTCAAGCCTAAAAAAATAATTCAATCTGTTAAGATCCTTTATTTTAAATTACTGGCCCAAGTATATCTTGAGCTCCTAAACTCTTGTATCATCACTGCTTGTGATTATCATGTCATCGACATATAGTAGCAACAGAATAATGCCATGAGCAGTAGAGCTCATGAGGACTATAAGAAAAATCTAATTGATTCATAATGTTATTAAACTTAACAAACCATGCATGTGAAGCCTGCTTAAGCCTATATAGAGCTCGAGAAAGAAAACATACCTTGTCTTTTAGATATTGATACCTAGGTAGAGGCTTCATATATATTTCTTCTTCTAATTCATTATTTAGAAAGGCATTTTTAACATCCATATGATGAAAAGACTAGTGCTTAATAACAATGATGGCTAGAAGGCTCCGAATAGAAGTCATACAGGTAACAAGTGCAAAAGTTTTCTCATAATCGACATCATACTCCTAAGTGAATCCTTGGGCCACTAAACGGGCCTTATGTTGCTTTAAAAAGCTATCAAAATGAGTCTTGTTCTTGTAGACCCATCGGCACCTGATAACTCAGATGTATTACACACTTTTCCTTGTTATTATTGACTAAAAATTATGTTATATTTATCCAAATTGTATACTTATTACATTAATTGTGACAAATTTCTTATGTGTAGGATTCTGTGCACTAGAGAAATTTTGGTTATAAAATTAGACTTTTGAGAAAATTAGTCAAGATACATTTTTAGTCTCGAAGAATAGTAACCTAATTATATTTCTCAAACTCTTTTTAGATTGAGAGTAATTAATTTTACAAGTTAACAATTTTAAAAAGTCAAAGTTTCAAGTTGACTTGCTTTCTTGTACTTGAGCTAGGTCATTTTTGTACATGTGTAGACTTATAATTTTTAGGCTATATAGCATGCCCTTAACCTCTTTTATGATGTCAAAATTAGTTTTTATTATTTAATTTGCATTGTGCCACATATTCAGGAATTGATTTTAGTTGAAAATGCAAATTATTATCCATATGCTTTGAACTTTGATATTGTGTGTCACATTTATTTGTGTAAGGTTACACACCTTGGATTTGGCACATAAGGACTATTGGATTGGAATGATAGATGAGTTAAGAGGCAAAATACTTGAGTTTCGGGTGACAATATAAGTCTTACATGGTCTTGCACACATTATACCACACTTTGAATCTACCCACTCTCTCTCTCTTAATTTTCTATTACCTTCAACTTTATTTAATTCATTTTTTAGACCATCTTTATTTGAATTTTCATCTATTTTACCATGATAAATAATAAAGTTACCCTATTTTATTTTTCACCAATTTTCTTAACACTAGAGTTAGGCCCATTCACCTTAGACTTAAAT